GACGGACGGCGGCATGGGGTACTGGGCACGGGGTGAGGGAGGCCCCCCCCCCTGCTCAGCTTTTCCCTGGGCCACATTTCCCCGGGGCTCCTCCCCTGCCTGGGGTCCTCCCCTGTCCCCCCCTTCCCATTTACCTGCGGTTCCAGCTTGGGGCAGCTGCATGGTCCCAGGCCAGAAGCCCCTGCTGGGGCTTCCAGCTGGGGGGGGTGGGCCCTGCTGCTGTGAGAGCCTGCCGGGCTTCCCCTGGGTCCTACTGCCCTTGGTTCCTGTCATTTTTTACAGGAACTAAGGGCAGAGAAATATTAATTTTCTAAATTTTTTAGGGGCCACACAGGCCGGATAGAATGGCCTCGCGAGCCGGATCTGGCCCACGGGGACTGTATTTTGCCCACCCCTGGGCTACAGTGTGTAGGGTCGTGACAGCTGTTAGGTCCCTAGGTATCTTGCACTGTATTAAGAAGTGAGGTTATCTTGGTTGCTTTATAATACAGGCTGCAGACTTGATACATGCTTGGAAATGCTATCTAGTTTCACTGTAACTCAGGTGCCTCTGTATCCTCTGATGAAATGATGAAGTTTTGTAACTTTTTGCTAAAGCATTTCTCAGTAATTTCATCACACGGTCTGTCCGGGCCTCCCAGGACACCAGTGCGGTGTCCACAACAGGGTTGCATTTTAAGAGCTATGTTTGCCTACCCCTTTTCTGCAGTGGTATACTCCCATCCTGGTCCCACCTGTTACTGTCCCACACAGTGCTACTCAGCATATCCTATCCACCCTATCCAGGCCCTGTGGGGTCAGTCCAGAGTCCATTTAAATCTACTGGAATCTTTCTGTTGATCTTAAAAGGCTTGGGTGAAACCCACAGTGAATAACATGTCTAAGTTGGGAGCCCTTTTCCACAGCCTGTGGAGTTGTAGCAGTTTATTTAACAGAGTGCAGAAGAAAATGGTTGCTTGTTCATTCTCAGTAGTCCTGCACATAGAGTAATCCTGTTAAAAAGCTAATTATTTTGTGGCCCTGCCTAGAATGTGAAAATGTCACTGCCTGCACATGTGCACCATCACCCATACTTTACATGGCCTTGCAATGCACTGAAGTTTTCTCTCAGGTTTATATAGTTGTTAAAAGGTGCTTAGCCATTTTCACTGCGTTTCAAGAAGTCTGGATGTCCACGGTTGTGCAGATCACTTTAGACTTGACTTTTTCAAATGTGCTCCACTGAGCACTTGCATGTGCTTCATGAAGAATTGGCTGGTCCTGTGTAATGCCTCCTTGCTTCCACACGTCATGTTGCCTTAAGATAGCTAAAAACATATTGCTGCTATTATCCATTTTGCAGCCGCCTGGTAGGATGGGGGCTTCCGCTCTCTGAAGAACTTACATGCAGTAAGAGCAGGAACCTTTGTGGGTCTGGGCCAAAGTCCTTGAAAGCAAGAACTGTCATTTACCATAAGTTTGCACTGTAACTTGCCCGACCTGTGCTGTGATCTGATCATCCTCTAGATGTTACTACGCTATAGTTGTTAAGAATAAATAGAGCAATATGAAAAATGAGAATCAAACTATCTCAGCTTAATTAATATCTGCCTCTCTCCTTGGTGGAGGATTTTCCCCCATCTGAGCTCTTGGTGGTTGTTACCAGCAGGTGGTGGTGTTCCCCACCAGTGCCAAAATCATCAGACCTCTTGCCATTAAGTTGCTCTTTCTGTTGGCTTTAATACACATCCTAAATAATCAAGGGACTGCGGGCATCAGCAAATCATCTCGCGTGATTGTGTAAGGAGGAACGGGTGTCACCAGTCTTGAAGCCATTGCCTGCTTCTCAAAAGCACCAGCAGGAGCAGGCAGCGAGAGTGGAGGACACGGAAAGGCGAGGGATTTTTGCTGTTGCTACAGCAGGGAGGGAGAAGTTGGAAGGAGCCTGAAAGACAAATGTTACTAAAAATAAAATGTGTGGGCCTCGTACAACTCCCTGGTGTTTTATTAACTGAGCTGTCACATTCGCGCAGCGCACTGTTGAGCCGTAATCCTTGTTAATTAGTGGCACAGGCTGATGGCCGAGAGCTCGCTGGAAAAGGGCAGCATGGGGGGCTCATTACCACAGCTGTTTCCTGTGATGGTTTTTGCCCCTTCTGTGACGGCTGCTTCATGCAGCTTGCTTGGGGCTGCGTGTTTTCCAAAGCGGCTTGGAGAAGTTGTGCGCCAGACCAGAAACCATAGCCCTGTCCTCCCCCACTCCAAGAAAAATATAGACAGCTCCTTAGAAACTGGCTCTGCGTCTCCCCTCAGATGGAAAAAAGCTAGAAGAGGTGATCATAAAAAAAAGTAGGGGGTGGCTGGAAGAATTTAGGAGCTGCCAGACACTGAGTAGGTGCATCTCAGCACCTTAAGGAAAATGTTGAAAGCGCACAGTGCTAGGAGGTTACTGGCCAGAGGCGGGTATTGTCCCTCTGCGCTCGGCAGAGCTGGCTAGGCAATAACGTGAAACCCAGCAGCTGGTTGCGGGCTGGGACTCTGGCACCTAAGGTTCCTAATTGTGTGTTTCTCATTCTTGCAGATGTTTGTTGTTGAGAAGATTGAGGGCATCCACTGCAGCCTGCATGAATTCAGTATCACAGGATCCACCTATGCCCCAGAAGGGCAGATGTGAGTACCAGCACCGGGACGGGGCAGAGCTCGGTTGGGCTGCACAGAGCTGTTAGCAGTGTCCTGGGTGGTTGGCCCCAGGTATTTTCTGTTGAATTGGTTTTCTTCACGTGAAGAGTCCTTCAGGCACGAGTGGAATGTGCTGATTTCATTCGACTGAAGTGAAAATGTGGCCTTGAAGTCAGGTAAATGAGAAGGGTGAGCTGGTGGCTGATTTACTGGACTGGGACCTGGGAAACTTGCCTTCAGTTCCCAGTTCTGCCACTCACTCGCTGCATTTTGGGCAAATCACTTATCTTCCTGTGCCTCTGTTCCCCATCTGTAAAATAAGGGTAATGCCTATTTATTTCTCCAGTCTCCTAACTCTTGCCTAATTAGATTATAAGATGTTTTGGGTCAAGGACTCGCTCTTCCAGAGTGTGTGCAGCACTGAACTCAGTGGGACTGCAACCTCAGTTGGGGCCTCTAAACACTACCATAACTAATAATAAAATGACTTAACTGATGACCCATAGAGGTTAGCATAGCTGGAAACATGAAGTGGTAAGGAAATAATTTAATGATAAATGAGCTTTTTGTAGTGTGTGGGATTATATTATTGTTCTGAATTTCTGAGGTTAACAGATTTACAGTAACAGTCGGTCACTGCTGCTCTCATCAGTACATGGGGCAAAGTAAAAAACACAGCATATGTTTGGTTTGGGGACAGCATGGCCTAAGAGCAGACTGATTATCAGCAGCCTGCATTCCCTTTCTGAGTACATATGTTGTGATATGTGGTTAAAGGTCATAAATCCCCAGAGATGCTTGCAAAATGTAAAGATCTAGGTGCTGTCAGGAAAGGACACTCGAGAGGGCATTGTACGGGCTCCCAGAGAACGTTAATTTAGACCAGCATTGACGTCAAAGGGATTTAACATGTGCTTAGAGGTAAACACAGGCTTTACTGAATCATGGCCTAAGAGTGGAGTTACTGGAGTCTTCACGATGCATTTTATAATTGAGTTTGGAAGGGGTCATTTTTTTTCCTCGGTACTTAAATTTATTTCCCATGTCCTGGGGAGAGAGAACTGGCAGATGTGTATGCGTTTGTGCCAAAAACATTTTTAGATGCTGCTTCTCGAAGAAGCTCCAAATCCTCCTCTGCAACACTCTTGCAGCTTTATGTAGAAGCATGCTCATTAGATGAAACTCCTTTGTCTTTGTCATCATTGACCGTGTGGTCTAAAGGACAGTTCAGCATCATGGAGTTGTAGACTATTTAGTGTTTTCCAGGGTGCACCATGAGGAGGCAGCCTACATTACACCCCTTGCTTTGTGATCATTGTATCATCATAAGCTTAAAAAAAATGAGATCAAACTAGTTATCCCTGCATCTTTGCCCCAACTTATTTTCTCCTTTGAACATGACATTATTAGGTTCCTCAGTGTTGCAGTCGTCTGCATGCGAGCGTGCTGTAATTGCCCACTTCCTGAGATGGTACCAATAAGTTCTGTATATTGGGTGGAATTTACCCCAGTGCAGTAAACCAGCTACAGTGACATGAGCCCCCTGTTAGTGGCCTAGGTGGACATAAGGAATTGGACTGATATGAGTTTCACTGATGAGATCTAACAGTAATCACCAGTCATTAAGTCTAATAAGGTTCCTTGAGGAATCTTGCTTGTACTCGGGGGGGCTATGAAGAGTTGCAGCATGGAGGTGAAAGCAGCTTTTGTCTCAGAGTCGTAACACCTGATTGATCAGTGTTGCTGCTTGCGTCTGCCTGCTATGCGTGGTGCGTGTCGTGCTGTGGGAAGTGAGTCGTCTTGCATTTCATCACATCGGGCAGCATCATGTGGCCTGACTGGCCTAATCTGTCACCAAGCGAGACAGATTCATAATGCAGGCTTCAGTGGCAACATGTTCCTAAATTTATTTAAGAGGTGTTAAATGGATTCATATACATTCTTTGCCTGCATCCTTAAGCCGGGCATATTCAACTGCTTGGAGGATAAGGCCAAATGA